TATATATATAATTTCTTTCTTTAAGTTTAGAATTGTTTAACTTTTGTATTTTTATGGAGATACAAACTTAGTTGCGAAGTACACTGGTGTTATCAAATACGACCTTTTCGTATTTGATAAATTATATCCAGAATTATTACATCCAGAATTATTGGACATTGATTAATTTGGAACCCCTGATGTGTTTACTTTATTGACGCAACTGTTGAGAAGGATTGCTAAATTGTTTATTTAAGGAATAGTTTAATACGAAACAGCCAGCATATGTGAAAAAAATATATAAAGATAAATGGTTAAATGTTAAATGATAGATAAATATAATTGACTTACATAGCACCGACGTAGAGCGTATCTCGTCGAAGATCCAAGAAAAATGTTCTATAAAAAAGTCTACCACAGTTGAATTCACGGACATGTTCTGCAAAAATAGAATATAAAAATCAAATAGAATTAAAGGCATAAATAACATAAATATATGTGTTTCAAAAATAAAATTCTGAAATTAACCTTTTGCTGACGGCTGGTATAACAGGTGGACCAGCATCATCATTACTAAGCGCCGTAAGCAAAGGGTTAAGATAAATTCAACAATTATCATGAGCTTTATGATACTCTCTAAGAATGTTTATGTGATCATAACATGCATACATGGCAGTACTTTTACTTTCGTTACTTGTACCGCCGGTACAAGTAAAAAGTACGTACTTTTACTTGTACTTCGTTACTTTTTTAATTTAGTACTTTTACTTGTACTTNCTCTAAGAGTGTTTATGTGATCATAACATGTATCTCTTTTCAGACTTTATGTCAATTTCAGAAACTTCTACTCATAATTTTCTTTTAATTCGTGAAAAATAGTGTCCACTTGTTAAGATTTTTGCAAAAACCATGAATTTCTGTAGCCTTTCAGTAAAAAATCCTACTTTTGAGAGTTTGAAAAAGATCTATTCAGATTTTTTTTTATTTAAACTCTGTCAGGTTTCAATTTTTGTGAATTATGGATTTCTTTCCAGAAAAACAAAGTTCTTAACTTACAAAACTCTTGTCAGGCCAGTCTTGACATACGCTTCTGAAGCTTGGACAGTGACAAAACTGGAGGAAAATTGCATCGCAATATTTGAGAGAAGGATTTTGCGGAGTATAACTTGGTGGCGAAAATAAAAACAATAACTGGAGAAGGAGATTTAACTTTGAACTGAACAAGATTTATAAGCACAACCCGATATTATTAAATACATAAAAATAAATAAAATGAATTCGGTGGCCCACGTGATTTGAATGCGTGATGACAATACGATAAAAAAAAGATACTTATTTTTAGATTCACTGGAACAAGAAAGCGGGGAAGGCCACGGTTAAGATGAGCTGACTCGGTGGAGTCTGATTTTCTTGCAATTAATGAAAATAATTGAAGATCAAAGATAAATCGGAAGTCGTTAAGGAGAAATCTTCGGAGAAAGGCATTGGCCCACATTGGGCTGTCAGGCCAACTATGATGATGATGGATGGGAAAGTAAGGTCCTATATTTGTGAATATGCACTTGAGAATACACTAATTTCTCCTAAAGAGATCTATGTAACTTAAATTTGCATTAGATTTCATTTTAAAGTTATTATGCTTAAGTTCAAATTTTTCACGGTTCATAATTAATTTATGGATTATACAGGGTTTATAATTAGTTTCTGGAAAACAATTTTTTCTTATATCTTACCTGCCCATTCAAAGTAATAATTTTGCAGTATATGCAGTAATTTCAGGTGAATCAATTAGAAAAAATCATTTAAACCACAATACCACTATTAGGTACCAAACATATTCTTAGTATATGAGTGCTTCCTAAGGAAACGAAAAAACACTTAAAAGTTGAAAACATTGAAAAAAAAGCTTCAAGTTTGAAGAAAAATTTTCATTTTTTTCGCAACTTCTTTGATCTCTGTTTCAAATTCACTGAGATTTCCAGGCTTTAACCCTGATACATCAAAATAGTTTTTGATGCATAAATAGGACACTATAAAAATATATCCCGTCATAGTTATCAATGTAACGGGGAGAGCAAATATATAGAAATTGGTTTTCACAAACATTTCATACTACTCTTCAATCGTATTTTTGATGTATGAAAATATATGAATAGATCGTTATTATCTACACAGTATTATGGCAAGATAAATATAGGCTATAGAAATTCTTCTATGGATCTCGATTCATACGGTTATAAGAATGTAATGTTACGGCTATAATGTGAAACGACTTCTGGAATAGTGTAGAAATGCTAAAAGAATTTTTAAATCTACTCTTTTAACATCTTGTAACTATGCTTAATAATTTACTTTATTTGTGGAATAAAACGCTATCGTGATAATTAGAGTTAATAATTGAAAAAAAGTTAAACTTAAAAACAATGCATAAAATTATACATGTAAAGCAAACATATTAAAAAAAAACATAAAAAGCAGCAAAGAAAAAAAAAGTAATGTTTTATATTTTCACGAAATAAATAATATAGCAATAAAGGTTTATAAAAGTTATTAGCATTTGTCAAAGTTTTTTGATTTTAAATTAAATTACATTGTCCTATTGAAAATACATGTTCGAAAATTTTGATAGGTTTATAATGGTATTATTATGGGTTCAGTATTACTAAAGTAAATAAAATATTCTAATTAATATTTACATCAATTAATTAAAAAAAACCGTTTTTTCTTACATAAGCAGAAATGAAGGTTTACATGATTTAAAAAAAAATCGGATAAATGTTTTGTATAGAAACAATATTTTAAAAAAAAATCTTCTGTGAAAATGTCGTAAAAACTACATTCCTCAAATATTTATATTTTCCATTTATTGGGTTTTTTTTTTCAGAATAAATTTAACTTAAATAATTAACAATAATTTTTTTTAAACCCTTAAGACTATCTCAAAACATATCATACCCTCAAGACTATCTCAATACATATCATATACCCTTAAGATTATCTCAATACATATAAAGAGATAATAGAATTTAATTCAAGGATATTAAAAAAAAAAAGAGTTTTTTCTCTCCTTTTTTTTACGAAAAACTTCTTTGTTGGCGAAGAGGGAGAAAATGAAAAACGATGCCAAAAACGCACAATCGGGTTAAACGATTTAATACAACAATAGCTTTGATGATTAAAAAATAAAAAAACGTCCAAAATTTCCGAATTGAAATCTATATCTATACACAAAAGGAAACAAAAAAAAAATATATGAGTTACAATTGAGACTCTTTATCTGGTCTTTTCAAGTCAGTAATATCCCCTCACTGAAGAAGTTTCTATCTATAAAAAATTGGCGAAGAATGATGAACCGAGGGGGTTGGCGAGAAAAAGCCAAAGAGAGATAATACTACTTCTTCCCCCAAGGGCAAACAGCAGTGATTGAAAACACCATCAAAGAAGAAAAAAAAGTACTCATCTTTGGGGTTACAGATTTTTTTCCCCCGATCTCTACAAAAATTGCTAAAAAGAAAGTACTTAAAGAAAATAGATAGAAAATAAACAAATAAAAATATTATGTGTATTTTAAGCTGTCAAAGTTCAAAATTATATCAAAAGAGAATTTTTTTATTATTATAAAAGTTCTTTCAATTTGTTTATAATCAATAAGCTTTTCAGAAATAAGTCGTGGAAAGAAAAAGAAATCAGTGCCTAGAATTTTATTAATTTTTCTTGAAGAAATAGAAATTTCCTAGTTAAAAAAATCTTATTGTAAATTTCGAGTACTTTAACCCTCTAGCAGTAAAAACATAGTTTCTAGTTCTAGTTTCAGTTTCTAGTTTCAAATTTATTTCATAGATACTCGAGAGATTTAGCATTGCGGATTTGCAATTTCCGAAACGCTAAACTTATTTAAGTTCTACAACGCATGCGCAAAAATTTCTTAATAAATGGCAGATCGAGAATAAGGTTAACATCACGGTTAACAAAATGCAATTTTAATGTAAATTTCCATTACTTACAAAGAAGCACTCCACACAGTTAAGGTAAATTATTTTTCAGAGGCTGTTACTTAGCAACTATCAGAAAATTTTGTATCGATGGAAGAAAAGAAAATTTAAAAAAAAAACAAAACAACTTTTATGAAATTGTTGCGATATTTTGCTTGTTTTATCCAATAAATTATTTTTCACGTGACACTTCGAAAACAAGACCCGTTCTATAAAATAAAATATTTTAAAAATGTTTCTCTTCGATACACCTTGAATGCTGGTTTCTCCATCAAATAAAATATTTTCTTCTTAATAATTAGAACATCTTGATAGGCTTATTCTACGTAATGAAGTACTTTCTTCGTAAAATTTGGAGAACCTTCCTTGGGCTGTTCTAACCCATAAAATATTTCCTTCGTAACAGTTAAGATACCTTTCTTGGACTATTTTACCCATTTAAAAGTTTCTTCGTAACATTTGGAATACCTTCCTCGACCTATTCTATCAAATAAAGTATTTTCTTCGCAAAATTTAGGGTACCTTTCTTGAGCTGTTCTAACCAATAAAATATTTCCTTCGTGACATTTGAAGTACCTTCCTGGGACTGTTCCAACCAATAAAATATTTTCTTTGTAACATTTGGAATACCTTTCTTGGGGTGCTCTAACCAATTAAATATTTTCTTCATAAAGAATCTAATTTTGACCAATTAGGTCATTTGACCTATTCGAACAGTACTAGAACATGAAACGTACGGAAACTCATTAGTTGCAGAAAATATTACCTTTTCATTAAAAATTGATTTCAACCCTCGAATATTTACTCGGAATAACTTCAAACACCAAATAGAGATATCAATTTTCACGACGAATATATATTCCGATGTACAGCCCAGCCCTTTTAGATCTCGTGTTTGCACATAAATGCCCCGCGGTTCGTTCTAAAATTCCAGAAACTCTTTTGCCAAAATCTGGAGGGAATTCTGTTAAGAGGAGCGAATCGCTAATTCTTCGAAAGGTTCGTTCCATATCACACAAGACTAAGTTATCTGCGTTTGTGGAAAGGACGAAGGTAATAAATATGCATGATTTTCTCTCTCAACCAGGGGTTGGTGCAACATGTAACCCTTCCCACCCATATCGCAGACATCCCCCCCCTTCACAATCTATGGAAGTCTGTGTATGGATGGTGTCCGTTTGCTGCAACCCGAATCCTCTTGAATAATGTATGAATGGACATTGTTGATTCCATGGACAAATCGACCCGTGTCTGCATCGATTCGGTAGTGTACTTTGGAGGTATTTAATAAGAAGTATTTGGGGGTGTTTATTCATTATGATCGATTGCCATGGGAGACTTAGAACGGAATCTCCTCTTAACTGAGTTTTAAAAGTAAATTGAGAAGTTCGAATCAATTAGTAGCTTTGAGGTGGAGATAAATTGGTTCTGGTTATTTTAAAATCAG